TCTATGACATTGCCATCTGCCTCTTTACACTCACCCACTGCTCTCTGTTATTGAGAGATACTGAGGGGTTCGCAACAACCGGTAGTTTCGTAGATGTGTTGGTTCGGATTAAGGCTACTTTTGTCGCTTGTTTCGTCGGTAGAGTACGGTTTACCTGTGAAGATTTGTAGGTTAATTTTCAGTGTAGCCTGTAGCTTTGCTGATGATAATTTTTTGTCTCAGGGATTCCGCACTGTGAACAGATATACAAGATCCATGGACATGGGTGACTTAGCATGAACTCTTAGTACTGTCTTGGTACTGCTGTGTCACAGTGACAGTGAACCCATGTACTGCAGAAGTTGCATTCAACTTCAGAGTCACTGTTTTCGACTGGCACCGAGCAGGCAGTATTGTTATCCTTGTGTGACTTCTGAACGGTAGACTGTGTCTACTGAGCCTAAGAATGCCTTTTCCTCCTTTACTTATCTTGCCTACTGGTGTTACTAGGAGAAAGGATCTTAGGAGTGTTGTCTTGGTCTTTTTATTGGGTCAAGTGAACCGAATTGTGAACATCATGTCGAGGTACATTAATGAGTGACGTTTTGAGTTTCTCATAACTTTGTCCCTAGAGATTGGGATTTCGGGCTCTCTTTAGACTCCCAAATTCACACCTTGTTGTGTAAGTGGTAGAAACGACGCAAGAATAGAACCTGAAAGTCACCCAAAATTGTATTTTTCCCTTAGAACATCTTAGTAGGCAACTTCACGTGGACGCAGTCACTTTTCCATAAGTCCTGTTTAGTCAGTGAATAATGTATGTTTGCTGTTGAAGCAACTGGGAGGAGGGAATTGGATAGAGGCAGCCAGTGTTACGTTAGAAATGAAGACATTTGGCTGATTAAAACCTTTATATAAATATCATTAATTTCACTGTGTTTTTTGGGTATATTTGTTTTACTTAACTTATGAACCTGTTTGAATTATTATTTTCGGCCATTTTTGGACTCCTGTTTGTCTTGGTTTGTTCGTTTGCTGTTTTTTGCTCCAGGAACCTACAAAATTGAAGGTAAATGTAATTATTATAATTATTGTTGTTAGAACGACATTGGTCGTCTATTTGTAATTGACGAACGACATTTTGGTCGATTATTTGTGAATTAAGAATAAACTTTGGTACCTACTTTGGAGTTTCGTTTTGTCATTGATTTGGGTTCATGAATTGCAAATAGATCGACATACCGTACTTCACAAAAGAAAGGAGCAAAACTTGGACGTAACAGCCAGACCTGCCGCACAGTGGTTCTGACTTGGAATGATTGCGTCCGAATCGCTACTCAGACTGTCTAATAATGAATGGAAACAATTTTTATATCTTCGGGAATGATTAAGTTTCCTAATCTAATGTCCAAAACGGGATCGTTTCGTGCAAATGGTGGGACGTTAACGAGGACAAGTCGATTTTGACGCGCGCGCTTAGTCGAACATATACGAGATGAGGATTAACTTATACACTGAAAATGACAGTTGATGATAAGCCGAAATGTGGGTAATATGCAAAATTTGAGTAAACCAAAGAACAGTTAGTCGTAACTCTTACGCACAATGAACAGTGAACCGAAGTTAATCTTACTCTAAAGATATATTTAACTTTAAATTTAACTGTGTAAGAAAAACTCCATTTAAAGGTTGTAATTTTTGGAGTCGTTGATATTTATGAACACGTCTACAAACCAATTACGTTCGGGTTTCAAGCATAATCGGGTCTTGAACTAATAAGATGGAATACAGGATAGTTCAGATGAAATAAGTATATTTACTGGCGATTTCGTGGTATGAAAAGAATCTTGAAATCGTGCCATATAAAATGGGTGAAAGATACAGAGCAGCAAAATCAAGATGACGACCACGAAGAAGAAAAGTGTGGTACAAAAGGACAAATGAACAAAATATTCAGTTAAACGTCCACTGGTACAATTGGATATAATAGTGCGTGTTTCTGTCTGATCAGCTATGTTTTCTTTGTAAAAGTGAAATCACCATACGGTTTGCAAAGGAGAAGTTAATGTGTCTTTTTATTCTAGGAATTCGTCGACTTCCCAGTTGAATGCTACAATAAAAGTCTTGGTAAATTTCAATGTCAGACCAATATAATACTGAGAAAAAATACTGCCCATAGGTAACTGAATTATCCTCTCTTTCAAATTCAGGTTATAAAGGATAGTTCTATGCAACAAAAAATGTTTAGTAATTTCTTTCATCTCATTAGAATACGAAGACAATAAAATCAAGGTGGAGAAATCGATTAGCGGCTGTAATGAACCTCAAGGTTTGTCGCACTGTGAAGATAGAATTTTCTCCCGAATGCTCAGTTTTCTGATAGATTATTCCAGTAACTAAACACTTGTAGTGGAACACTTCTACGAAGAAAACGAGATTGGTGAAAAATAAACATTTATTATCGTACTCGTTTTGTTCAATTGTACTAAAAACACTTACTTGCGCGCAACGTTATTTTTTGCGTTGCTACCATCGGTCATAACTTGATGCTCAATGTAACGCCTACTTTCTCCCTCAAATATATTCTCAACCGCGGATTTATTTCTAAAACTGGTGACGGGATAGTAATGTGTATTTAGTGGTGATCAAAGTCAATCTCGACTCGTTCATCACTAACACTCTACATGCTAAACTAAACTCTCAATGTAGGCTATTTGATCTTGGTTTTCCATCAGTCGTAGATAGGATAAAAAGATAAGACATTATAGCCTAAACTCTTTCAGAATATCGTATCTCAGTATCAAACCTTCATTTAACTTGAAGAAAGATGATAGAAATATCGTGAGGCGTAACAGTTTATTTCCATAAGACATCAAGAAATTTTCGAAAACATTTGTCCTTTACTATTGTGCCCTAACGAGCACACAATAAATAATTGAGGTAGCGAGATATTGTGTAAACCCTAATATTATACAAAACGTCTCTAATAATCGTTCTGGACAAATCACAAACACTTCTGAAGTATTTATACGTTAATCTAGTAATGGAATATAATTAAAGGAGAGATAGATAGACAAGCAACCAAAGAAAAAACATATTTCAAGGATTCACAAATAAGGTAGTCAAATTTACCATATGACTTAGTACAGGTTAACCAATAGAGTTGAATTCATGCATGTGATAGTCACATGCTCGGTCAGATATGGTATTTCAGAATGATTATACATTTATGCGTCTGTATTGAATATCATAGAAGTCTATGATGATTTTGCTCTGTTCGCTGAGGAATTAGTAAATAGCGAGAAAACTTCAAGCTTGGCTCGCCAGTCTTAGGTTGAATAAGGAAGAAATTATTAATGTATTCCAAAATATCAATAATATATAAAATGATATCAAGATGAGTAAGTGTTAGGATGAAATACTTTATGTTACAAATAAATAATTCAGTGGAATCTAAGTTTTCCATTATTTCTAAATTTAATCTTGATTAGTTAGGCTGAGAAAAGTGAAGTTTTTGCTATCACACTTCATAAAATAATCATAAGTTTGCAAAATGTTGTATCTATGGTAAGAAGGAGAGATTTTACGAACGTCACAAACTCTCACTTTATGTTCGTAGTTTTTTCATTGTAGTTGGACAGTACTTCACTTCTGTCTGAAGTTTGCGGTGATGATGTTGTTCAGAAGAACGATGAAAGCTTTACAACCTAAACATATGGCTCAGAGAACCAAGCACCACCACAGTTGGACAGTGCCTCTAAAGGACTGATTCCCTTAAATACCTGTTGCAGACTTGATCGGCAGAGAATCTATCTAACACACTGTGATCTAAGTAGAATCAGGTAACCCAGTCAAAATGCTTAATTAATCGAATGTCTTATTAAATGTCATCGTTAAATTAATAAATCTAAATGTTTTGCTTCCAATGAATTATTTAAATTATTCGATCTTGACTGGACAATAGATTTGAGAATATCTGATCCATCATTTGATCACAGTTGTGACTGTTTACCTATTACATTCAGAATTAACTTATTAGTTGATAATAACTATGTAGTATCTAATATATTTTTAGATTTTAGTAAGAAGCAAACTGTACCGGATGCAGACAGATGGTACCCTGAGTAACTTTTCAGCCACACCTTAGTCAGTGTTGTCGTTGATGAGTTTCGATGCGCAACTCAATATCCGATGACTAGTTCGTGGATCGATTTCGGATCACCTAGTCGTGTGGTTTTAATTCACAATCTCTGTAAATTAGTATAAAAGTTTTTGATGCATTGTTCCACAACATGTGATTCATGTACAGTCAATAGTAACTTTAGGGACAGTTTGGTGACACTTCGTGTAAAAAGAGATATCTGTGATTTCCATAAAGCCCCCTTGTCTTTAATAAACCTAGGCGTCTTAGTGATAATGCATTTAAGTGCTCGATAGTTTTCATAAATTTTGATAGCAAGAAATTGTTGCATGCTAAAAATACGTTGAAAACTATCAACGTTACCTAGTTTCCTAAATGAATGTACAATCTGTAAGCACACTAATGACCATTCTGTAAGTGCAAATATGATTTATGAAATCGATGAACACAAGAGTAAACAGGTTGTTGAGACCTCACTGGAAAGAATGATTTATGTAGTAGCTATAGAGTTACGTTTTCCTGTTAGTTTAATTTTCAACTTACAACATAAATAAGGTAATTAAGAAGCAACAAATAAAGCAAGGTATACCTAGAGTAAGTACTATTGGAAAAGTAACAAAATTAATACAATGTTCCCAAAAACATTTTGTAGATTGTTAATTGACAAAGACTTGAAAATACCACAAAAAGATATTTTACCGATAGAATGTAAGATTAATGATTTTATATTTACCACATAAATGTGAAGTAAATTCGCTTCAAAATGCAGTGTTATATCGTCAAACTATAAATCAAAACAATAAATCCCAAATTAATTGCTGGTTAACTGTCGTTCATTTCAAATGTAATAAAAGGAAAAGACAGGTGTTACAATTTCAAATATATTTTATTGAATATTTTCATAAAACAAACAGAAAATTCACTGTCTTGCATAAACTGACATGATTTTAAACAAATAATTAATCAAACGATGCTGAAAGTGTTGCATCTCGAACACGTTGAAGGAAGACATTTAAACCTAAAACGTGTCCAAATAAAAAAATGATTGAATAATAAACTCACATTGACCACCCGTTCCTTTTACATCAAGTTGCTTTATTTTAGCCTCTGCATTTTGTGATGGTTGTATAATAAATCTAATAAGAAATAGTTGTTCCATTCAATAACTCTCATTAAGTATATAGTTACCTCTTAACTAATGATATGTGAGCATTTCGAAAATTCCACAGTGACTGTAAACATTGATTGTAAGCTGTTTTCATTCGAGAAGACTTGCTTTCAGCAGCTAAATATTCAAAAAAACTTGAATTACAAATAATTTAATGAGACATAAAGAATAAAACAATAAATCGGTATCATATTGTTTTGTTATTGAGTGCATGATTTTGGAATGAAAAGCCTATTGGATGACAGCTAAGACAAAGACAATCTGAAAAGCTACAATAAACCGGAACAAACAGTTCATCTGCTTCTTTCTGGTTAATAAACCTTGTATTTTATGATTTTATTATGATTTTCATCATTGCACTAAAATCTCAGTTCGTTGGTATTTGTTTGGATCGCTGCATTGATATTTTAGATTTCAGTTGATCAGTCTCTTCTGTATATGGGCATCCTGTGCGGACTGCTTCGATATCGTCTTTAGATTACAACCATTACTGCTGGACTCAGTAACTCAGTGGATAACGCGATGGCATTTCAAGCAAAAGATACTATATTCGAGTCCCGGAGTGAACTTCAGCTCTGAAATGCAGGTTAATCCAGCTGGTGAATCCCGAATACGATGAAACGCGCGTCCTGGATTTCAATGTTGGCCACTATCCACCTCAGCCTTTCGAAGACTTTTTCAAACAACCAAATTAGTCAGATTATACCAACTGATTACGCTGTCTACTTGATTGACTACAAAGATTCTAGGCTTTCAGTACTGTGTCATTAAACTAGTCGCATTATAAAACTAATTATAAACAATACGGTTCATTTATGCGTAGAGTTTCTATTGGGCGAATTATTTATATTTAACTAATAAACTTCTGTTAAGTACTTTTTGATACTCATTAGTTATTTAAATGACGTCTGTTTGAAATGCAAATAGGCTTGAATCAACTTGTTTTCATTACTGAAAATGGAATAAATATTATGACCTGTATAAAAAGTATATGAAGACCGACAAGAACTCAATAAAACTAGAAGTTTAAACTATTAACGTTTCGACGCACATTACAATGAATTAAAAAAATACAGTTGGTTCTTGAAATCGATTCTATGAACGAAACGAGGAAACAACAATCATTCTGAATTTGGAGTAACCACAATGGTTCAAACTTAATATAATAATCCGAAAAATGTGCTGTATTTGCACTGTACATTTCCAACAATCTGGTTACACATATACTTGCTAAGGCATTTTATATCATTATTAAAATGTAAATTGAATAAAATTTCAAATAGTCAGACAGTGATAATTGTAGATGAAGTCCAATTACGCCTTCCTATGTAAATGTGTCTACACAAACCTGCATTTATCACTTTACATCTAGCAATCGGACTTTGCAATCAAGAGTTATGGAACATGTTCCTAAGTGGCTGCACAATCAGTTAACTTCAGATTAGCCGATAAACGTGACAAACAGAAAAGCATTTTCATCGATCGGTAAACACATAATTGAGACAGGGCATAAGATTGACATCAAGACGGCCTTCGAAACACCGTAGAAACGCTGAAGGACAAATTCTAAGGTTTATGGAATCCTGGGCTATTCGTAAATTAAAACTCCCTTTATATGTAGAGAAACAGTTTTTTATAACCTTAAATTTACCCCGGTAATCTTGAAGACATTTTATGGTCTAGGGTAATGTGACCATTTCCTACACTTTTTTATCCTTTCAACAATACGTTAATTTTCTATCTTCTTCATTTACAATTATCACCTTGTGTCTACTTGAACTTTTATGTAATCGACCTTTTATTAATCAAACAAAATGCGTTGACTAGCATATGTGTGACCCGATTGTTTGAAATGTATGGCGCAAATACATCACATTTCTCAGATCAATTACGTGTTCTCTTTGTTCTATCTAAATTTACAAAAGGGACAAATTGTTTTGATAGGTTATCATTCGTCGAAGTATATATATATATATATATATATATATACTGATGAAGGTATATTTCGAATCTGACAAGAGAAAAAATAGTGTTACAATCCTTAAATATCAATATTTTCTTTATATCAACGTGACCAAAATGTTTTCTATTATAAATCGTCACATTGTTATACTTCTTAAGCCTTTAAATAGTTATAAGAGGTTTCGATTTCAGAATATTTAAACAGAAGTAAACTTTGTAGGACCAAAGAATTATAACTTGGAACTAAACAACGAGATTTTCTACTATCACCAAGACACTTTGACAACGTCAAAAAGCAAATGAAAAATATCAAGATATGTGCATAATGAATGAATATTTCAGTACTAGTTGGCTTGAAGTAGTCAGCAGGTTACCACTTATCAGCAATTTACCTGTAAAACACCTACAAATGTTTGTAAACGATTATTTTAAAAAATGAAATCATTGTCACTCAACTTGGAAGTCAAAAACATCATTAGCAATTTAGGGACACTATCAAACACCAAGTTTAGTGGGATGATGTTAGAATATAGTTTTTAAATTATCCATTGAAGTCTAAGCGTCAACGGATATATTCGGGTAACAAAACCACAAATTAATTGTTTCGTCTGAATTCTGTAATCAGGTAAATAAAAAGTGTTTATTATAAAATCTGTTTTTATCTAACTATATGTTGCATTCCATCATTGAGCACTGAAACTTACTTATAGAACGAATTCTACTGTGCACTGCTAGATCTTCAAGAAATTGTCTATGTTCTTTTATCATGTATGTTTGCATATTACGGAAGAATTTTTCATCCTCTTTAAAACAGAATCAAGATAAACAGAGAAGTGTAGCGTTTATGATTTTTTTAACTATAGCAAATGATTAAAAAAAATTAACGGAAAGCGTAGGATAGATACCTAAAGCAACTATTTTATTGACTGCAGAAAAATATATGCTCATAGAAATTATTTTCCTTGATATTGTGAATCCAGATATTCATTATTTCTAGTTTATGTTATCATAAAGTTGTTGAGTGGAAATTTTGAAACGGACACAACTTTCTTTTTGTCAAGTTATAAATGTTTATTCAATAATACGTTCAAATAACGTCAAAATAAGAGGAATTCTACTGGAATCTCATTGATTAACTTGTTAAATTCCATTGAAATCATGAACAGATCAATGTTGATCACCATTGAAAACCTAGAAACACTAAACGCCATTTCGTCCTAGTAGGGGACCCGTTGGTAAAGCGCACCCATCTTCACAAACAGGACTCAAATACAAGGAGTTCGGTTTCTCTCACGAACGCTTCACCTCTGGACAACTAAGTCGGCATCAGGTGATGTCCGAGTCTAACCTAAATTGATCGACTATATTGCGTGACTGATATCCCATGTTTTCAGTAGGTAAGTGCCTCAGACTCGACACGGTTTGGCTCTATTGGTTACAGCTCCTTACCATAACTCTGAGAATTTCCTCCTGAAGCCAGTTATGATGATTGTCAGTATTTGATTCTATATCCTTTACATCTGATGATTAAATCAACCATCAAATCATGTACACTGTGTGATATTGATTTTAACTAGAATTTTAACTCAAGATCGACATATTCAAAATTAAATCTCAAAAAATATTCCATCCGGTAACTTTATCATCTTAAATGAAATGTTTGAAATTCAGGCTGTAATCGATACAAACATGAAGACTAAGCAGTTCGAGCTAGAAAATTCCAATCAGAATATGTTTTGGATCTATCATAAAACTTGTGATTATAACGGTTTTCCATCATAAAGTTATTCCTTTTTTTGAGTTTCACATTTTTTTGGTGCATTTCGTTTCTACGAAACAAACAGCGATAGACTACAGAAAATAGTGAAACGATAGAGTAAAAATGGAATTGGGCGTCTGTGAAAAACGTAGATCTTACCAGGATCATGTTTTATCTGAAAAAATGCATCACATGTCTGAATTGTTATTGACTGTGCTGCACTTGCTCCAATACATTTACGCTGTTCGACGTTGTTCGTATACTTCTGGCCGGAGAATGGACAAATTGATATAGTTTTCTCGATATTATTATTTTCTTGTAGTGTATTTGTCTCGTAAATTAAACCCTTTTCTTTAAGTTTTCCATGGGACCATCTATAAAATAATTTACCAAATATAATACTTGGAGTGCTAGCTCAACTATTAATTATTAAAGAACGCTCACACCAATAGACTTTTGAAACTAAGAAATTACAGAGTTAGTTCAGTTAGTATAGTGCCAATTTGAGAATATACAAATCACAATGAATGCTGAGGAGTTCTAAATATCAAGAAGTCATTTTTTGGTGAGAATATTACTTATACGCTTTTGGTACGGACAAAAATAAATTTGCATCGTCTATGGTGTTGATAAGTTATAGAAATAAAAATCTACTATCAAGGAAAAAAAGGTTACTCATTGATTTAGAATGAAACCTTAAAGTCAAAAATGAAAACTTTCATTTTATTCAGCTGAAAAATATCTTAGTCTGTTAAAAATACTATCTGAAAGCTTGATCTGATATCCTAGATGCTTCTAATAACCTCAGTCTAAATCCGCACGGCAACTTGAACATAAGAGAAAAAGAGTGGGGTGCGAAAAGACGCTTTACTCAAAGGTTTTCATTTGCAAAATGTAAACATCCTTTTAATGATCCAGTCAGCAAACATGAATGTTACATAGATGTCCAGTTGCCATATGCCTAATTGATATCTTAGAAATTCTGCTGAGCTACGATTTGATGGGATCTTCTCACTTTGTTTAGTGCCTCCTTCTTCATTTTCTCCTTCATCTCATTACCTGTGAGCCATCGCAACAAACACTTAAATCAGATACCATATTCCAGTGTCAAAGATTTCCTAGGTAGGTTGGTAGATATTTAACAAAGGACTATGTATTCTAGAGTGATTTTATAAAACTAATAAGCTACACATTAAATCATGACGATCATATACATTATCAATTATTGTGACACTATCAAAAGTTGATTTTCAATTTGTATAGAAATGAATAATATTCACTTACCCACACAAGATAGGTCTTAAATCAACATAGAATTCTTCTGAATTCAGTTTACCTATTAGGTCCAGGTTCAATAAATGTAAGTCAATAGTTACATAAAAATAGTTTCGTTTAATAAATAACATGTTGAATGTATTTGATAATTTGAACAACAAGAGTGCAGAATTAGGATAATAGTGATAGTAATACATTGGGCCAATCAGAAATAAGCCGAATGGTAGTTGCAACAGATTGGGCAAGAAAGGACTTGCATTTCTAAAGAAGAAAACACACCATAAGTAGTTTAATTTTCTAGGAGATATGTATAAGTCTATGAATGAGTGCCCATACATTACTGAATCACTTTGTCAACTAAACGCTTCATTCTACACATGTGGCTGGTGGGTTATGTGAAAAGAAGGTTTCTTTGTTAGTATCGGAATCGGACACTGAATAACAAAATCTACTTAAAAAAACTAAGATTCGATAATAGTTCTCATAAAGGACAGACATTAGCTAAAGAATAGGAGTCTATTATTTCAAATAATTCTATTTTCGCATACTACATGTGTATGTTACAAAGTCATACTTTACATTATCGACCAAGTAAAGATTCTAATCGACGCAGTAAATTGCATTTAATTAAAAAGGGTTTGTAGAAATTCTTATATTCAGAGTCCGCTCTCATAAGAGACCATTATCAGTTGTAGATCTAGTTATAAATAGTAAACAATTAATTGATTTTTAATCCTACATTTGAACTCCCGCTAAGCACACACTAAAAACAGCACGTAAAACGTGACTCAGAACCATCAGGTTTCAAGCTAAGCCTACCACTTTTGAATACACGATCGGTTTTCAGTAATCTACATCTACAAAACTTTAGTCAGTTATCGATGTAGAGCAAACACTTTTGACTGCCATCGATAAATTACGTTATTATCCTGACATATTTAGATGCTACCAGATAATACTTTTCATTAGAGTTTTGCTAATTGATTTCATAGTTAATCGCTAATGAAAGAATCATTATTGTTTGATTGGATGTTTCCGTTTAAAGACAGGTTTCTCCAAGTACTGAGATCAGGAATTTATTGTAACTGAATTAACTGATGAGCATTAGTTACTGTTTTGTTAGCGGGATCTATGGTCCTGGGCTTGATTTTCGGCTACGGAGTCGTGGGTACATAGAAAGAAATGGTCGTCCAGAACTTCCAAATGTTCAGTAGTTGTGCAATTTAAATCAGTTCATGATTGTGATAAAAAAATCAACGATCTAATCACATCCATACTAATAGTTTCTAATCTCGTTAGATTCTAAATACTTTTTAATGCATTAACCATATGAAATTCTGGAATACATACTAATGGGTAACTTTTCTATTTCGCTCATGAAATAAACACATTTACAGGATATTAATGATTATGATTTGACTAAATTAACCAATGATACTGTCAGAGATAGAACATTTTTGTTGAAATTGGTATAAATTTTTCAGAATGACAGATTATACGTAGGGGAAAATGACCAAATCAGAAAAAAATGCATCCATTTATTGTTATGAAACTATTGATTCTTCCTTATTTATTAATTCTTGAAATGTAAACGGATAGTTTCATTCATAAACCAGCTAACTAACATTCGAAACAATCTTTCCCAGCGTATGCAAATAAAAATATTTAACCTACCATAAAAGTTCTTCAGTGAGTTTCTAAATGGTACGAATAATTTAGCTATATTTTCTAAGCACTGTATGATGATACTTTCATTCAGTGGATCCTGCGCTTCCATAGCATTCATGATTTCCTAGGAAAGAGAAAGCAATTTATGAAAACTTAGTGATAAGTCCTTATAGGGCGAAGTGACTGGAAAGAAACATCTTGTAAAAAGCACAAAACAAATATTACTAAACTTGGCTTTATACTGTAAAGCGAGGATATCAATCAAATCATTTGTAGGTAAATGGGAAAACACAGAAAAATATCCCCTCTGTTTGAACATAATTAAAGTTCTGTTATTCTAATTTGAAACCCTTCTGATTATTATAAAAAAATACACTTTTAACATCAGCTACTAATGGATTTGATCGATTAAAAGTCTCTAGTTACATCGTTTGCTAAACGATGTAATGAATTCGTAATATTTATGAGGTAAATAAGATACATCGTCATTGTTTCTGAAGTACATAAGTTACGATTCTGTAATCCCAGTAGAACCTAATCAACCGTTAACAAAATGAAACAACTTTTAAGTAGGATGGTCACAGAGTTAAGATAAACCATACAAAAAACTTAATCATTGAACATAAGCTTTGAACTATTACTGAAATGTAGTTCTGTTTCCAGACAAACCTTAATTATGAAATCTTTGACAAAAATGTAATCCAAAATTCAAACAAATCGCTTTATAACCGGTTAACTCAGTGTTATTAAACTACTCAATTATTATTTTATTAGGATTTAGGAAATAATTAAATATAGTGATATCATTTTCGAGCTCTTGTTAACAAGTAGTGCGTATGAGTTCATATTCAAAAAAAATATTAAAGTAGATGTAATTCTTACAAAAACATTGGTTATAAGAACGATTCAAAGATTAGAACTACATGATATCTTGCATTTTATGTTTACCCATATAACTTGTGAGATTGAATATCATATGGTAAATTATCATGAACAAAATAGTATTTATTCATTATCATTCTCAGGATAACAGTATTAATATATGCAAGACGAGTTCCAAAGATAGGGATAACTATGGAAACAAAATTATCACCGTCTTCACCTGAAAGTAGCTATTCTATAAAGACATCTTGGTGATGAGTTCTAACTATCATGGACTTATATTCAGATTTCAGTCGGCACCAATGGTTAGATAAACACCTATTTTGGACTCGAAAAGAAATATCATAATGTATTAAGTATGTAAGTACTGAACATTCTCAAGAAACATTGGTTTAAAGCACTTTTTGATACAAATAAATGTCATCTCAATGATTATTAAAATGTAATGATTTCAATCCAGGTATCATGTATCAGAGTTTTTAAATTGAACTAATCTCTACAGAGTAACAAACTCTGCAGATCTATAAAAGTACATTTTGACCAATAGGTTTGGTTTGAAGCCGTAATGTTTCAACAGACATTTAAACGTGACATGCCTTGTATAGGGTTAAACATTTTAAATGATTTTTTTTTTAAAATTCTCCAAAATAAATTTTGCCAAACACAAGCTGATTTATTTTTTATTCGTAGTCAATAGTTGGTGGAAGAAGTGAAATCTAATTATATCTATGTACACTCATTAATTTTGGTAGATCTGTTTTAGTAGTGGAGGATATTTATATGGAGGTTGCATTACATTCACAGTTCAGCCCGCAGATTGATCTTATCTGGACGACCATTGGAGATCCAGAAGCAGCAGCAGGTTTATCCTAGTATGGGATTTATGAACAGTGTTTCTTTGAGCTCGCATGCGAAAATCGAACTTAGGACTTTCGGTCTCATGCGTAAATGCCTGACGTCCCTGCCGATGGCTTGGTATTCAAAGGTATTGAGGTCTAACTTCGATCAGTCTGCGATCTTGTACAGTCTTTATTCACTGTTTGTGTCTAGTAACTGTCACACATCCGACATGGATTGACCTTCACTGGTCACGGTTTCTCATTAGAACTCCAAGGATTTTTATCAGTTTAACATAGTAGATAAAATCTCTTTTTTGATATGTTCAACAAAATGACTTTACTCAAAGAAATATTCAACTTTTTTCTTACCAATAATATAGGCGCAAAGAATATTTCACATTCGCCACTCAGAGTAATAAATGTTTCCCAACTTCGGTGATATGTAGGAATGTGTATAGATTGTAAGAAACTGGAGAAAAAGAAGTAATCATGTCGGAGATAAAAAGTGTTGTTTTGACAATGAAATCTTGACAAAATTTGGAGTTGAAAAAATGAATCTTTAAAGTTATATTTATCAAATTAAGTGTTTCTCTTTATTTGAGTCAAAGTCTAATGAATGTTACTGAGAGCAGAGTTGGTATGAGTTAATTCAAGTGTGTGAATGACCTACTTTTTTCAATTAGTCAAATCGATTTTGAACGAAATTCATTTTTTTATTTTGCATTTTATCGTCAGTATTACCTAAGATATACTATGCTTTGTATACATTTTCATTGTGAATGTTACTGAAGTCCAATCAATCCACTGTTTTATAATTATTATTGAAGAAAGATATGAGAAATAATAACAATAATATGAGTAAACATTTGCAGCACATCAATCAAACTATTGATTAGCCATTATAAAATGTTATCACATTTATATTATTTTAAAACCTGTCTATCACAATCAGTTGACTGCATTGATAGAGTAATAATATTTCAGCACTGAAAAAATAAACTCATTCAAGTTATGAAATAAGTGTATACCTTAAATCTTGTTCTTCTTTTGGTAAAGTTGAAAGAAAACAATTCGATAAAACTAGATCTTCATTTGTCAGTATAGGCTGTACACCAAGTATATGAGAAACTTGTAGTAGGGGTTTGGCAATTTGTACTGGTAATGACTAAAACCATATTTGGCAACAAAACAGATATCAAAAATTCGAAAAAGTATTAAACTGAAAATAAATCGATAAATTTAAAGAATTATGTCATAAAATTCTTATATCAAATATAAATCTAATCCGATTGTAATAAAACATGTTTATGAATAATCATATGTTGCCAAACTGCTCGTTCACAAGACTTGAATGTATATTACAATTAGGACTAATAAAAAACCGATACAGACTATCATCATTTCATATCGGTTGAACAGTAGTGTTATCTGGATCCTGTAGCTTAATAGATAGTATGTTTTAAATTTGAAATAATAGGTTTGTATTTTAAAGTGAACAATTTTGATTATGAAATTAATTGACGTTCTAGGCCATGTATAAAGAGATTATTGGTCAGAAGTTTCCTGCTACAATGAAACCGGCTGTCTACTAGCTTTCTGTTATTCTGTGACTGATATCAATTTATAGTGGGAAATTACACTTAAATAAGAATAAATTAATATATGTCAACTGACAAAGCAAAGAAGTATTTCATAGATTTTAACTTATCTGAATAGCAACTTAAGATAACTTAGAGAATCTAAATAGTTCATCAGTCATTCAGTCCACTAGTGAACTCGATAATTTACATGCCTTTAAAATTACTTAATACGTTTTAAGCGGTTCAAAACAAATAATAAAGAACCTTGGACCTAGATTTTGTGCTATCTAAGATTCGACATTATGATATATAATAATTCTAAGAAAACCGGTATAAGTCTTGAAGTGCAAGCTATCATGATTTGGCATCGTTCAGAGCCGTTACCAGGTAGCTCTTTCGGATGCGACAAACTTTGTACAAGACAGAGCATTTATACGCTAATCAGTTACTGAATACAAACTAACATCGTGCTGTACAAGACCATATCATGTAATCTATGGTAGTTTATAACCTTAGAAAAGTATTCTCAAATATCATCTGATTATAAAGTATACAGCAAAACAAACACAAATCTTCTAAACACAAAGAATGACTAGTTTTATCTTTATTCATGAACAGGTTTTGACAACACTACTGTAAATTTTATTTGCTTATAAGAATATAAGGTAAATAATGACTTATTCAAAACTTTAGAAAAAACTTTTCATAATTAGTTTAATTAGATGTATATAAACGTAGATTTGTTATGCTTTAGATTAGATAAACAACACTGTGTGCTTATTATTTTGTTGACCAGATCATGGTAAAAAATGGATATTGATTTCACTATCAGGCTAATTAGGATACACAAATAATGACACTGACAGTGATCAACTGAAAGTTTGATATGATCATGATGACCTCGTATGTTAGTCGATAGTATAGTACAGGAAAGTATCTGATAAATGTGATTAATAATATCTGATAAATACTTGATTTTTAAGGTCATCTTGCATACAAGTAACTGTTTAAATGATCTTTAGTTAATTTTTATCTGAAACGTAAAAAGGCTTTACAAGAAGATATATGTGATTATTTATTTTTGTAGGTTAAAAATCAGTAATGATTGATCTGATCACTGTACAATCTATTTACTTTGAATGTTTTAATTGACATACATTAACAGTTTGGTAAAAACCATTCACCTACTTCCGTTTCACCGCCTTCACCGTCTTGCCATACATAAACAGAAGATAAGAAGGAGAGAATTTTATGCGCTAATCTCAATTCCTTGTGACTTTTAAGACCATCCAGATCTAAAAGTGGTAACTAAAAAATAAAGGTGAATATTAAGGTCACAAGAACTTGATGAAGATTAAGAAATATTGTCTATACTGAGATAATTAATTCACTAAGAACAATCTTGTCAACAGTTCCTAGTAAATATTTCTATTATACTTTCTTATATACTTTTCAAAATTGTTGTTTTGTCATTTGTTTTGATTGATTATTTCATACGCTTATTTCAAATCCTTAATCATTATCAGTATTTATTATCTCGACTAACTTTGACATGATTTATGTAGTTAGGACAATAGTAGACTTTTTGTTATGGTTTAGCAGACATTGTATCATAGATGTAGAATGTAATAGCATTAACTCATCCACTGAATAGCTTATTGATTCTGGTCATGTTTTTGCGCAGTCGCTTGTCCGTTACTGATCTCTCATCATCTTTCATATAAACTTATTCATTTGATTAGTAGTTGTTACTATCACATGTTTATTTTTGACTGAAATATACTTATAACTGCAGAATAAACATTTTTTTTCTCTTCAATACTTTACATCTGTAAGCAAATTTAAAATTGTTCAACCATGGTTTTCCTTTTATTCCTCTTGTTACTTATCGTTTAAGAATGTAAGAATTTTTTCGATAATATCAGTTCTTAGTCTATCACTAGTTTTAGCCTATACAAATGATTTCATAATAACCTATGGTTCAATGAAAAATTTTACCTGTTATACACATACTTCGTTTAGACTTCTTATTCAAAAAGAAAGTTAAACTTATCAGTCTGATCAGATTTAAAATATTTGAAGTCATAAGATGAGTAATTCAGAGAAGTAATTTTTATTTAAGTCATCATATATATGTGTACAGATAGATTATAGGTCTACGAATAGTTGTATGTTTATTAGATTTGGTTTCATAATTTTATCTAAATTACAATGAGTTTAAGTCTAATATACGAAGCAGTCTAAATAAATATTTATTAAGATCAACTTTTTTTGAATTATTCTTCCTGAACGATTTTCTCGTAAATTTTCAGTATTGTCGCTATTGAAAATTTTGTAAAGGGCAGTATCTGTAAGATGGTTTACTTAGGAGGCCACAACCAGAGCCTTTGACACAAAAGTCGAATTCACAAGTCAGTCGAGTAACATTAAAAGTTGACGCCAAATGGTAGCCGGTGAACAACAATAGGTTCGTAGTGCATTTATTCCATCAACGTCCTGGAACCTAAGTGCACTATTGGCTTGAAATCAGGGTTTTTCAAACCCCTAAGTGGTTGCCTTGTACGCACCAACCCGGTTAAGGTACCAGACACTAGGTATTTGTCCTTTTAATGTTGTAAAAAACACCCCTACTACACGAGAAGAAAGTGGATAGGATTTCCCTAGCCACTGGTTATAAACGCATGGATACAAGACAGCATTTGCAGACAGCAAGTGAATTCTCTCGATTCTCAACTGTACCTGGATATTTGGGGCCTGACATAATATTACTTTAGTATTATTCATATGTTTGCAGTACAACAATTTAAAAAAGCCCATAGAATATAAAGAAAATAATCTCATTACTTACTGATTCTATTTCTTTTCTCAAAGTCTTATTTTTTGATAGCTCCGGTAATCGATCAACCAATTCATTCCATGCATCCCATTTAGATGGAAGAGCTTTCTAAAATTTTTGTTTAAAAAATTATTTCACGGCATTTGTGCTATAATCAAACCAGTGGATTCTCTTCAACAGCACCAGTTTTACTTGACAAACAATAATATTCTAGACTGTTCATCGTTAGCTAGTTAATTAGTTAATGAATCAAATTCAATGAAAAATTGTCTCATATTTATATATTGTGTACTCTACCACGTGTTTTTGTTCGAATAAATTATAACAGTGAAAGCATCCAATGAAATGTTAACAAAAATTATGCTAATAATCTTAGTCCATGATTATTATCATACCAGATAGCTAAAAGAACTATTTTTTTTCTGTAAATATATAATGAGGTCATTCTCATCAAATTAATGAAAAAATATACGATGAAATAATGATTAACTGATTAACTTTAAAATTAATTCAAAAGATCTTAATTTTGATGTGAAATATTAGAAAAAAACAATATTAAAGAGAGGTTTTTTAGATTTATTCACGATGAAATACCGCAATAAGATTAATGCGTTAATGTGTATGCGATCAGTTTATTTTTAGCTATTTAGATAATGTTTTATTAAGACTCAACGGATTGTTTGTTAAATTGTAGAACCATTTCAATTATATGCATTAGTTCATTTATCTAAATAAGAACGGTATGAGTTATATTTGTAGCGAAGTTATGCAAAATGACTGTGTGCTTACAAATAAACAAATGGAAAGTGACCAAGATTGTGTTAGTCAGTCATTAATGCTGATGAAATCTTTTCGACTACAATATTAATGGGCTAAGCCATGTGACACCGTTCTGCGTTTTAGATGATTTTAGCTACTTGAGGGGAATAGGAAGAAAACTATGAACCATTCAGGAAACCGATATCCCTCTAAGTTTCAGATTCAAGTCATCCGTTACAAGATGTGTGTCTGTTTGGACTAAGTGGTGGTTAGTTGATGAACACGGATAGACAGTTATTCGTAAACTTCCTTATATACTTTCCTAGTTTTATCTAGTGCCGTGATACAAACGCTGACCAGGCCAGTAATATGCTCTTGATCTTCTGTGGTTTGAGATTTGATAAACTGATTGTCCTCGATGGTTATTTAATACAAGTGTGTAAAAGCGTTTTGCAACATAGAATTATCCCCATTATTCGTCGTAAGAAAAAAGCCTTCAGTCAGAAAGAAGGCTGCTGGTTAGTTATTACGACCGTAGATTTTCTGCTGAATTAGAACCATTTACTCATATGGCTTTCAAATGCTTTATAATAATCTGATAAGACATAGCTTAGGGTAAACGATTATGATTGACATACACCAGGCTCCATGTGGTGTATTTGAGTTTTACAGCTGTTATGCTCGTCAGTTCATACGCTTCAACTATTAGAGTTCACCATAGTCGGTAAACGAGAGCAAAGACAAATGATCCAGTGACATGATAGGCTATTCTGATTCAAATGTCCCAAGGCCCCACTAAGTAGAGGAAGAAGTCATAACAAGACACAGAAAGTATATTCTACGAGCACCCAGAAAATAGGAAGTCCACAAGAATGCAAAGCGAGTTTATCTATACATTATAGAAACGCCCTTGAGAGAGCCACAAAAATAATGCACAAAATAATGCAACAGACAATATCAGTCAAGAATTTTCCGACTGGTTATGTAATGTCAAGGTCAGTTGATCAGCCCATGCGCGAAAGCATAAAATACGAAATTAGGACCTTTATCAAGTAAGTTCTGGGGATCCAACGGCCTCAACAACGGCGTGATGCTATCAGACAACACCGCATGGTCACTCGTCAAAGTGGACAAGACAAATAATATGTACTTAGTCATGCAGGTTAGTGCATGGGTTTAAGGCTCTTACTGAGTAACGCTATCGTCTGTGTAGTTCTTCCTGCAGTAAAGCGACTCTTTCTAGTGATTGTGTGAAGTTTTGTTTGAGTCGAATTAGGATAAATGTTCAGTCCGACGAATCAGATTGTAACATCTCAGGTCTGTTGTCATACGTTAGTCTGTCACTATCTTGGTGGAAGTGCAGAAAGAACTTAAGTGGCTACTCTAACTCGGCTTTGCTGTGAAAGACTTTAAGAGGGATGAAGACTAACATACTGTTTAATCTCTGCTTAGTGAATAACTTCCACTATCTAATACGAAATCAAACCAAGAAATGTTAAGACTTAAGTTGTTGGATCGTAATCCTGTTATCTGCACGTTCGAACTGCATTGATTTGTGAAATAGCTCGTTCACCAAACATTTTCATCTGTCTCTTTCCTAACACAGCTCGACTTTAACTCACTTGTCACAGTTATTTACATGAACTTCCAGAATCCACATGAGAGTAATTTAATTAATTTAGGTAACGTTTCATTGTATAATCAAGAGCTTCAAAGTTTCTAAAAATTAGTCGTCAATTTACTGCAGCTGTTAACAGAAACTAACTTTACACTTTATCTGTGAACAGATTTAAATGGAAATGAAGTGTTAATTAAACGCATATTTAATAAAAATAACAAACCGATAGTCTAATTCAAACTAATAAGACGTGAATGGCAAACAATTGCCAGTTTCGCAAATATTTACATTTCGTTAGTTCAACTATTTATTGTCTGGCGTGATGTTTTTTACTAAAATATATTACTTGAATGAGCTTATATTATTTTTTATAAATGTTTAAAATATCTGGTGACTGTTACTGATGTTAGATACAAAAGATTTTAGTTTATTTAAGATTGATTGACTGAAAATATTTATTCTCTGATCAGTATAATAAAAGTAGATATTCATGACAATTTCAAAGACAACCCTAACAACGGTTGTAATTGTCGATCATTAGAGTGATAAACAGATCAAAGAGAAACAACGGTTGAAAAATGGAATTTTACTAATTGTGTTTACAAATTCTATATTTGTTTATCAATTACCAAGCCTTTTCGTTTATAAGTATTCATTATCTGTTTGTTTGCACAGTTTTCATTAGGTAATTTTATTTTTCATATACTGAATGACAAGTCTGTTCCTGTGTTGAACTACAGATTAAAACTTTATTTTATATCAGTGATCGTAGTAAATTTTTACTTTCATTGTAAATGGGAAATTTATGTCATTATGATTATTGAATCATAAATTTTCTTGATCGGTTTTTTATATTTCCTATTTGGCATGAGTTGTGGACGAGAGATCTGCAATCAATTCTATCATAGGTTATCCGTTACAGTTGTTACTATACACTAATTTATTCTTTTGTTGTCTACTTCCAATTCCTAGTGCAGTATATTCTTTGGTCTCCTATTTTTCTTTTAATCCTGATGGTTTGAAGTTGAGATCTGCTTTCTTATGCAGTTTTATTTATTTTCGTAAATTGTGACCTATTCAATTTCAACGTCTTTTCCTAATTTTATCCTCCTCTGGAAGCTGATTCGTTTGCTCATACGGTAATCTTCATTTTAATACTTCAAGTAGAATCAACTTTCATTTTAATTAGGTTGTGCAAACTCTCAGTTTTGAATTTACACATCTTTATAAACTGAACCCACGATTCTTTAATAAGCCTTGAAATTTGAGCATCCAGTTGTTTACAAAGTATACACTTCAGAATGATTTTAATGTTCTATGTCTATTAGCATATTTTTGCTATAAATTCAGTTACAAAAAAAGAGTTCAAATGTTTAATTTGGGAAAGTGTGCTGAAAATAATATGAATCGTCTTTTGCTTAGAATAAAAACCTATAAATGTGATCTATTTGACTATATTTCAACACTCTTTAGGCAATTTTATCCATCAAACAATTAATGTTACAGCAACAAAACCTAGTGAATTCGGCCTATCGTAAAAACTAACTTTTTAAGAAACCATTTAAAAGACTGTGGGTTATTAAAATGCAGACAGTGCTAAAAAAGTGTATAACGCCCACAATTATTTAAGCTGTAAACAGTTTGAGAAACAATCAACTAAAATCCGTTCACGCGGTTCCAGATAGACGTGCAAAATGCATGAAATAATCATAAAGACATGACTTGTCACTGCTTGGATTGCCTCCCAAGGCTCCTAAGAAGCCGTAGCGCTTCTTTAGATTTTCTGGACTATCGATGTGGCATAAGGTGATTGAATGATGTTATGATATCACTCATTATATGCTGTTTTTATAGATCCACACTGTTTCGCTGTATATTTCCGATACATTCTGGAGTAAGAGTTTTTTATTTCTTTTCTGGCATTTGTTTTGGAATATAAAGGTGGTTCTACTTGTTCTGTTGCTGAAGGTTGAAATGCATATTCGTCGTTCGAGAAGTAGATACAACATAAACTTAATTTCGAAACTTGAACACTGTTTCTGATAGTTCATTCAGAGTCAGTTAACATAGTCTTAGATAAATTGTTAATTATGTGAGTGTTAGAACTTCAATATTCTGTGTAATGATTGGACAACTTGGTTATCGGTTCCCATATCTCCAAATTTCGTGTGAAAATTAAAGCGCCTTCCCAGTTCCGTTGATCTTATTGATGAAAAATTAAAAAACAAATGACATTCCAAATTATGGTATGCCATATCACTAGGAATGTTTCAGTTTCTGTTTCTTCGACTAAAGCTTTACTTAGTGAACCATAAATATTGATTCGATTTCTACTAGATATTCATAGCTGACAGAAGTTACGATAACTTTTATGTGCGTCAAATTAAATGCCTCGAATGTTGGCCGAAAATCAACTGAGTAAGTGCATTCATCAATAAATATGTCATCAAACTATTACACCGTCTATAATGAAGCAAATATACCGAAATAAAATAAGAAATTCTCTAATGGTTTAAATTAGTGGTTAAGTAGTTTTACTTCAGATCTTGACTAAATTACAATCAGCTTATAAACGATATCGGTTAAGGGTCGACTACTGATCATTATATAATATAATATTGTCTACGTTTTAGTGATGACTTGAAATTATAGACCAGATATCAAAAAATATTATTCTATATGTAATGTTAGTGCAATTTATTTATTGAGTAATTGACTGTTATAATATGATTTTTGGAATTTGTTGTTACATAAGTTAAGAAATACTAATAAGAACTTGTCAATAATTTGGTCCTGGAATTATCTACTTATGACCATTTCATTTGTGACATTTAAACTTCATGTTCAAAGACTG